GTGGTGAATCAGGCAAGGCGAAAAATCAGTCTCGAAATTTCGAGACGTAACTGCCGTGGCTCCCGTGAACTGCCTCTGGCCGACTTGTCATATCAAAGGCTCGAGGCCAGGAGACAAGCACCCAGAGAGATGAGCCTCATTGCACCACGCGCTCGTATTCGTCGGAAAATTTCACGCAGCGGGAGGAGGTGGATTCGTCTGGCTGGGCTGGCCGGGCGAGAAGCTGTCAATGCAATGGAGAATGCTACTGTGCACACAGTGCCATGCCTTGAGCACGACGTGATTTGAGCGACGAAAACGACTGTCCCCACCAGGCGCACGAGTGATGGCGCAACAGACAAGGGCTTCCCAGCAAGAGTGCATGCAGTCCGGGGTGGGTGAGCTCGGATCTCCTGGGGTGATTAGCTGAAGGATGGGAAACTCCTTTCTCAAGCTCTAGCCAATGGGCGCCGTTTTTTGGGATGGTTCCTTTCGCTTGAAGGATGCGGCTCGGCATGGTTTCTGGGCAGTGGAGTTGGAGGCGGGATGCTAGGTAATCTTAGGCGGCCATTAATAAATGAAGAACCATGAGGATTACGTGAGAGATTTCTTGTTTCAAGATCGGAAGAGCGAGGAGGCTGAGCCGAGCTGGTGGTACACAACGCTGGAGCGGCGACTGGAAGGCGTTCATTTGTCACTGAACCACTGAACTCTTCTCAGTGAGTCCGGAGCGGAAATCCCAAGTTCGCTGACAAGGGTACCATCCTTGCAGCTGCATGCACGCCTGTGCCGAGAAAGGGAGGCTGCATGGCCGTAACTGGGTAGTGTACCCATACGTCGCAGAATGCCTCGCTGATGTTGGGATTGAACTGAGTAGCGACTGCGAATTGCCAGTTTCCAGCAGGGGGATTTTGAGATAAGCCGCATGCAACGGCGCCTTAGTGTGCTGCACGGTAACACAGCTGCCCCAAGTGTCAACAGCGAGAGGGCGCTTGTGGTGTCGCAGGGGGAGAGCTCCTGGACTGGAGATGTGTGGTGGGCTCTGACATTGAATCTTCCCATCGTGGGCTGCTTCTCCTCCCCACTTCCCCACGTGACGGCAGCATCGACTGGATGAGAATCTGAATCTGAAGATGATTGGGTCCGTCTCCAGGTTTTGTAGATCCGGGGTACGGCCAGCCAGTCAACCTCAGCTGGTGAATTCGGCGGGTTCATTGGGCCACATCAAAGCACGACCGTCCCCCGACGAACAGTACTCTGTGCGCACTATCAACACCGGCCACTTCGACTGTTGAAATTGCCGAACGCTACTACAGTACAAGGCAGGCCGGCGGCAGGGTGTGCGGAGCAATCAATTGGCCAGGCGGCCGGCGCTGGGCAACTTGTGAAACAGAAACAAAGCAGGCATTGACGCCGGGACAATGGCGGGACTCGGGACGTGATGGTGAAAACTGAGTAGCGGCCGCTACCGCTGGCGATATTGCAGCGATAACCGGAGCGAGACCATGACCCAGCTGCCCTTTCGGGTGGCAACGGCGCATGTTTGATTTGAATCTTGCATGCAGTCCGACGCTTACAGCATCTCGAGGCAACGAGACGGGACCAGGGGCAGGCGGCATCAAGCCGGAACGAGACTGCAGTGCTTGCTGACCGGTGGCGAGAGGTTGATGCGGCTAGGAGGGCGGGAGGGGTGAGAGGGAGATATCTGATAAGACTAGGCCGTGCTGTGCCGGCTTGCGTGCGGTCGTTTTGAGCCTGCCAGGCTGCCAGTGCCAGGCCCAGGCCTGCTCGGTCGCTACTTTGAGTTGAGTGAGGTGCATGGCGAGTTTGACCTAGCCTCGACCCGCTGCCGTGCAAGCCGGGCGGGATTCGGATGGCGATCACACAGAAGACCTGCCTGCACCAGGCAGTTGGTTCATCGAGCAGAAAGACCCATGGAACGTTGGTCTGTCAGTCTGTCTGTGCAACTCGTCTTGGCCGTGAACCGGTGTTCCTCCGCTAGGCTGTTCAAGTGCCTGTGCCCTCTGACCGTCGACACTGGGAGTCGGTATGGCCCGAGTCCAAGGCAGTCGGTCGAGCAGCCATCACTCCCAACAAATTGGAGATAGGGGAGGGAAATAGTGCTGGAGCCGGCCAGGGTGCTGACTGATGCAACAGTGTCTGCGCCGGCGCTGCTGCCAACGCTTTGGTCGACGGCGTACCCCGGCAAGCTTGGAAGCTTGGGGAGAGCGGCTCGTCGAAAGGCCAAGGCCACACAGGGCAGCTGGGCAGGCCACACCAGCTCGCGCTTGTCGACCAGAATTTGGCGCTGGCGTGGATGTGAAAGTGGTTTGATCTGGTCCTTATCTCAGAGGCCTTGTCCGGTCTGGGATGACAGCTCAAGGTGTACGGAGTACTATCAAGGCGCTTGACAGGGGGCGATGCTACCGAATATGGCTTAGCCAGCCAACGGTACCACCCCCCCACCGAGCTGCTCTATTTGAGGATGAGCTGGGAGATAAAATTGGCTGATGTGGGATGCGGTGGTGGCCGCATACCGTGCACCGCGCCGCAATCCTACGGTGCTCCAACGCCGTCCGCTGTCCGACCAAAGCTGCCTACTGTGTGCGCGCCACAGTAGGAGGAGCGCTGGGCAAGCCTGACAGGCACGGTGAGGGAGAGAAGAGGGCATGGGGGTCCTATTTTCAGGCCAGTCAGGCGACTTTGAGGCTGAAGGCTGGAGGCTGAGGACTCGGCAACTCGAGGCGTGATGATCGGCAACAGAGCAATTTCTGGAGAGGAGGCTCTTGGGGGCGTGGCTGGCGGGGCACGACGATGAATGGACAATGGCAATGCCAGCCTGTCAGCCTGTTTCTGGAGTATCACAAGCTCCTCCTGCTGTTGTGCCGTGCGACGGATGAAACAGGTCTCTTGGTGCATCGCGTATGCATCGCTTCGTTGCCCCAACAAAGCCCCAGCGACAACACCACCGGTTCCCACTCCCAGCTTGCCCACCAAGCATGTTTATCGGGGGGACACGTTTTGTGTCGGGGTCTGGTTGGTTTGTCAGGACACAAGAGGGGGCCTGGGGGAACATGGTGGATGGAGAGAGATGGAGAATGCAGCACGACAGCTTGGTCAGCCAGGCGACAGCGCAGCAGGGGAAGTGGGTGCCGTGATGAGCTGTCGTCCCAGGTAATTCATCTGTAAGCGACGCCGTTGGGCAGAGGTTGACTCCATCTCTGGCTGGCCGGGGTGAAATTGTCACGATGCTGGGGTTGACCGACAGGAATGAAATGCAACATTCGATATTGGCAGAAGGATTCTTGGTACGAAGGAGCTTTGATAGGAGCCTCGGAGCGTAGCGTGTGTGGCTTTGGGATCAACCTTGAGACCAACTCTCGGGCGGGCAGGACGTGTCGGAAGGAATTGACGAATGACGAGAGTCCGGGGTTTGGGTTTGGGCAGGAGCTAATGACCGTGAGACCAAACAACACACAGAAAGACAGGCCAGCTGTTAGCAGTCGCAGGTTGCCAAATGGCCTGTGGGTCGGACTCGGGCCAGGCAAGCTGGCAAGGCAGGCGGGACTTTGAGGCGAGCGGCTACCAGTTCAGCCAGGCTGCCTGGGTGGGAACTTTTGGGACCCTAACAGAAGGAGCCACGATCAAACAAGCAAGGAATCAAAAGGAAAAAGCAAAGACCATCGGCTGCCCAGTGAGATTGACGACGACGTCATTCCCAGATTGGCTGGCTCGCGTAAATCCAGACTAGACAACGTCCTTTTTCTTTTACAGCTCGAGCCAATTCCGCAGACACTTTGACACCGCACCACAGTAGGTGATGGCCCGTGAGGAAGAATGAGCCCACGGGTGAGGTCAGACAAGCCCTGTGCCAACCCTGCCCTGGCCTGAGCTGCCTGGAGCCTGGGCCTACGCTTGCTCAGTGCAAGAGATTTTTGTTTGGTTGCTGGTGGGGGAGCGGAACTGACAGATGGACACATGGATATGCACTACTAGATAGATACGCACGTACGCACGCACCAGGTGAAAAAAATACTCCATTGTGTGACAAAGGACATACTCCGTTCGTGATCTTCATCCAAGGCGGTCAGCAATAGACTGACAACCGACAACCTTGGAACTGACGACACATGCAGCTTCACAGGCTGGCCGGCCTCACTCGACCGAAACTGAGGTTCTTTCCCCCTGGTATTCATTCTACTCTGCTTTGTTCCGTAGTCTAAGATGCCCAGAGCAGCTCGACTAAGTCAAGCCTAGTCGAGGCGTGGCAAGTCAGGTCAAGTCAGGCCAGATCAAACCCACCCCAACGCACCAACAAATGGGGGATCCTGAATCGTTTCCTATCGACAGAGGTGGGTCTGGCCGGTGGGGATTCAGCCCCAGGAGAGGAAGTGCCCGTCGTGCCCGTCGTGCCCGGCTCCAGAAAAAGAACAGTGACAGCGACGGCCCTCGTTCGTGATCATCGCCTGTCCCGAGGCTCGTCAGTCTGATGGGGAAGGGTCTCGGCGATAGAGTTTTCGCTTGAAAATCTCGACTGCTCCTCCAATATACGAAATTCGTCGGCTTCATCGGCAGACGGGCCAAGCATGGCTGTTGTGTCAAGGCTGTGTGTTTGTGAAGTGCGTAGAAAATTGCGCAAAGGACAAGAAAAGGACAGGACCAGAAGGTGCAGCCGAGCAAGTCGCAGCCCATTAATTAATCTACCTAGAGTGTCTGTACCTCCGTAGACCGAGGACCGAGGACTCGAGCCAAGGAAGCGATGAAGTGAGTGACAATAGAACAGACAGAGCAACATCTCATCTCATATCAATCTGTTTATTATCGAGGGTTAATCTGCTGTGGTCGTACCATACGGAGTAGGGAGTACCATAGCTATGTGACATGCATCACACCGTCCATCAGTCAGTCTGCCTTTACCCCCCTCTTCCCCCCTCCCCCCTTCTCACCCCCCCCCCCCCAAGAAATACTAGGATACAGTGCGAGACAGTGTGCACTCGACTGCTGAATTTTCAGTCTCCTTCCTTCCCCAAAATGATGCCTGTCCATCCCCAAGGACTTCCCTCCCCTGTCATGTCGGCCAAGGTCCCTGTTCCCTGCCCGGCCTCTCTGTTCTCTGGGCTTGTCTGCGTCTTCTCTCACTTCTCTCCACACACTCCTCCTCCTCCAGACGCCCTCCAGACGCCCTCCGCCTTCTTCTCCTCGCTCTCTCCAGTTGCTTCCCTGCCCCGAGGTCCCAGTTTTATTTTTTTCCAACAGTGCTACTGTGGTATGTAATGTACGCAGTGTCCGTACTTCACAGGTACCCAGCACCTTGTCCCTGCACTGCTCAGCCCATCCTTGCTGCTGGTGCTGCCGTTGCTACAGCCTGCAGCTATGGGACAGCAGGAGCACTCCGTCCCGCCCAGGAGCACCAAAGCACCAAGCACTAATAAGCACAGCACAGCACGGCAGAGGCAAGGAAGTCCATTTCAAGTGCTACTCGCCGTACGTGCGTGTCCCAACGAGTCACTGTGTGTTGCCCTGTGCTTCCCCCGAGCTACCACAGTACCTTGGTACTTGGGGTACGTACCCACCGTGTGTGCCGTGCACCCACCCAACCCTGGCATCCCTGCACCCCTACCACCTTATAGCCATCCTTGTAGCCTTGTAGCCCCGTACCCATGTACCGTCCCGTGAAACCCGCCGCACCACCAAGTATGTATGTTTAGCCTCTCCTCCTCCTTCTTCCCGTCCTCTCACCACCTTGAGTTTGTTTCCAATTCCTCCCTCCTCCGCTTCCTACTACATCTCACCCTCCACGCGGCCACCAGCTGATCGCCTCCTTCCTGCCTCTCCCCGTCGACATCAGAGAGAAAAGAAGCATAGACGTGTTTTCCGGCCTTGCTCGTCTTTCTGGCACAACATCGTTTCTACCGGTGAGTGACTGAATGTGTGAGGTGGATTGCACCATTTCACCAATTTCACCATCTCGAAGCAACTGCACCGTGCATCCATCTACCTATCTACCTATCTCTCTGTCTGGTCCGGCCTCGCTGGCTGCGCCTGGAACGGGCTGCTTTTTTTCTGGTGTGATGCCTATGCCACAATCGGCCTGAGTGAGTGGCACTGGGCGTGGTTGGGCGATTGCCTTGAATTTTTGTTGGCTTCGACTACCGCCTGCGTACCTCTTGCCTCTAACCCCAAGCTCCCCACGCTACCTGGGCTCGCCAGTGTGCCGCTACTTCCACTGCCACACACACACACACCCACCTTCCTTGCTCTCCTGCCTACTTTTAATCCCAGACCGTCTCCCACGCCCATGCCCACACACACCTCTTCTCACACCCACACCACTCCCGTCCCGCGCAGAGCATTCCTGCCCATTCAAAACCAGGCCGCTTCCGCACCCACCCACGTTCTTGAAGCCATTTCTGTACCGTCCCAGCCCAGCACCTCTTTGGCTACCCATTTCCTTCGCCTGCCCACACCTCGCTCCGACCGGCAGACCACATAGATGCAAACGGCTGCTTCTCTCCCGACCCCGAATCGTCACCTCTGCACATGTGTCTGCCTCGCCGTTGCTTCGAATCATCGTGACTAACGTCGATCGACAAATCCAGTCAGCATCGATCTGTCGCATTCCACCCGTCGCCGCTGCGTCCACCCAAGCCTGCCGTTGGGAGAAACAAAGGACGGACGGACGGACGGACGGAAAAGAAGGACTCCTCCACAACACCATAATACTGCAAGGAAGGAGCAGAGGATAGCCGTCAACGACATCCTGTTCGCCGACGCAACGCCTCTCTAGCTGCCGTCGTCGTTGCTCTCTCCCACTTCCTCTCGTACGGGCCATTCCCGTGATCCACGCATCGCATCACAACACTCGATACTCGAACTCTCGTCAACCGGCGATCGAGACGAGTTGACTCTTAATTCTTACCGCCATTTCCGAGACTTGCTCAGTTGCTGGAATATTGCCTGTGCATCTTCTCTCCTCGCCCGCTCCTGCCCTTTGCTTACTGCCTGGTGAGTAAACCCTCCCGGTTCCACGCCTTCCGCACAACACTGCCCACTCCTGGTCCCCCTTGGTCTGGGTTTGACCTCTCGATCTGGCCGGGAATCGGACCACACTCGCTCTCTGGAGCCTGAATAAGAGTGCACGGCCGGCACACTCCATTGTTTCGAATTCTTTCCCTAGAAGACCTCTCACGCCCACTGTCCTGGATGCCTTTTTTTTGTTGCTCTACCAAACATTTATTTATCGGCTAACCGTTGTGTTCTCCGTTCAGATCCGCTTTGCTGCGTCGATCAGCTGTAACACCGAAGCAATCGATTCCCCCGATGCTTGCACTGGCCCAGCCTCTGGTTCAGTCTACCACATTTTCCCCATACAATACCCCAGCCGCTGGGATGCCGTACACGCCCCCTAGCAAGTCTCCTGCCTCGTCAGCTCCCACATCGCCAGACACCAGCCGCCGATCGTCTCTGCAGCAATCACCCGGCGGCTCTCGTCCCGTTCTGCCTCGGTCCGCCTCATACCTCACCAAGCACCGAAGAACACCGTCTGCCGTGGGAGCCAGCCATGGCCCAATAAACCAGCCCTCGCCCGAGGCCACCGTGGCCGACCTCAAGGGCATGCTTAGCCACAGCGTCCGCCAGTCACCACCCCCCGTCACTGACGGCCAGACAATGCCTACCGGCGCCGTTATCTCGCCCCCCGAGTCATCAGCATCCAGCGACGACGACGACCTTCCCCAGATGCGTGGCCGCCGCACTGAGAACCTGAAGAAGCTGCACGACGCCATCAGCCAGATCCCACAGCACCGTGAGGGCTCTCCCAACAAGACACAAGATGTCGTTGATGCTGGGGATCTGCTTCTTCTCCCTTCACAAGCTGACAAGATCACCGATGGTGTACACCACAGCTTTAGCGCGAGCTCGTTGGACGACCTAGCCCATGCCCGCAGAACCCAACACAACAGGTCCATGACGATGCCAGACGTTGGTCTTTCCAAGTCCGCCGAGGCCTCGATCACAAACTCGGAAGAGGAGGACGAGGATGAGCTCATCCCAAGACCTCAGATGCTGCGCAAGAAGTCTGGCGAGCTTGTGCGCCCCGCCCTGCGACCCGCCTCCCGCCGCAGGCCCTCCAGCATGCCAGGCACACCTACCTTCTCCAAGGCTGTCCACTTCGATTCTCATCTCGAGCATGTCCGCCACTTCCTACAGGTTGATCGTCCTCTTGCTGTCAGCGCAGGGTCCTCACCGGTCGACAACTATGACAGTGACACCGAATACCCCTTCGGTAATGAGGACAAGCACGGTGCCCGATCTCCCCCATTTGAGTGGGAAATGGTGATCCACAACTTCCCTACCGAGACACCTGCACGGAAATCACAGCCAGTTCGCCTGGAACGGGTCTGGCTTTCCAATGATCACAAGTTCTTGATCGGCTCGGTTGCCGTTGCAAACATTGCCTTCCAGAAGTCGGTGGTCTGTCGATTTACTCTGGACTACTGGAAGACGACCTCCGAGGTCAACGCCGAATATGTGGCAGAGGTGACGCCCCGATTTGCTGAGCACGGCCATGACCGATTCAACTTCAGCATTAAGTTGGCTGATCTGGCAAACCTCGAGTCCAAGACACTCTACTTCGCCATCAAGTACACCGCTGGAGGCCAGGAGCACTGGGACAACAACAACGGCCCTAACTTCCAGGTCGACTTCCGCAAGAAGATGCTACCCCAGAACGGCAAGAAGGGCGCGATTGGTGCCGCTAACAGGCCCGCGCACTCTCTTCCCAGGAGCAACCGCCGGTCAAATCCCTCTGCAGCTCCACGGCCCAAGTCTATGCCTGTGGGCTTCGACGACTTCGGTGACAGTCCCAAGGTTAACTTCGATCAGTCGATTCACGAGTACCTGGGGGAGCCCGGTCCTGCACTGCGGCTGAAGAGCTCCAAGTCCACCACTAGCATCCCCAGCGACAACCTATCCAACCGACTGTCAGCCCCGAGCGGACAGGCTTTCTCAAACAGATACGACTTCGGTGCCTCCCTTACAGCCGCGATGCAGGCGGCAAAAGACTCAATGAGCAAGCCCGATGCCTTGCAAATGAAGTCACGCCGTCAGAACCCATCTCTGACCACAGCCAACATGGGCGGAAAGCCCATTTCCCAGGACCAACAACCCACCGCAACAAATAAGGCCTTGGCTTCTGCCAAGAGCTCAATGCCGGCCGTTCCTGGCACCGGGTCCCCTGGGGCAGCGAGCATCGCGTCGTCATCATACGAGGAAATTGTCAACAAATACTGCTTTGTACGTACCCATGGATGATGTCTGCTCTCGAGCCCCTCCAGCAAACCCCGGCGCCGGACCGCCAACCGCCACGACCCCCCAGTACTAACTTTTTTCTCGTGTGCAGTTTGGATCGAAGCAGTCAAGTCCTCAGATGAAGGACGGTACTTTGGGAGGCGGGAAGTTTGATGGTACCGAAGACGCCCTGGCACGCGGGCTGAACAGCAGCGGATCCAGCAACAGCGGAAGCCCCCTGGCTTTCGGCTCGCTGCCGCGCGGGCGTGGGTCTCAACGACAGTGGGCCACTTCGGATCCCAACCCCTACTTTCAGAACTCGGCCGTGCTCCCTCCCGTGGGGGCCTCCCCGAACGTCTCGCCCCTCGGCAACACCATCGTCCGAACCGACAGCCCCTCCAGCGGGCAGCCACGATCCTCGCCTTCGGTGATGGGCCAGTCCACCGGACGAACGGCTTCGCCGGCGTCCATGGTAGGTGGGTTCCAACCCTTCACCGGTACGTCGCCAGATGAGTTTGCGAGTTACATGCACGATCGATTTCCATTCTCCGGTCCCGACGCTCATTCTGCGACAGCAATTAGGGGCAACTAGCGGGTGAAGACCATGGCGGATTCTCGCACACACTCGCACCACACGGTCGAGAATACCCTTCACCAGTGCATGCTGAACAATGGCTCATCATCGACCACTATTCGCCTCGCCATAACTCTTGTCGGTTTGGAGTGGGCTGCACGATGCTATCGGGCTCTGTATCGGCTTGGTACAGACCATCACTTTCCTCTCTGTTTTTTCCCAGCATTTTTCCGGTTTCAAGGCGTTTTGGAATCGCAGCGAAGCGAATACTGTCACGGCATGAATGAACGATGACCCCGAGCATACGAAGGGCGGGGGCGTCTAAATTGATTTCAGAGGGAAAAGGATAATACTCGGCGGTTGGTTTTCAGGTTCTAGGGTGCAACGGGTCCACAAAAAAAATCGGCGTTCAGGCAGGGTCATCATACCTAGGGTTGCTTTTCGAGTTTTTTTCCTCCTCACATTGCTGCATTCTTTCTCACTCAATCGCTTTCTGCATCTGGGCCCATCCAGCTTTGCTAGCGTGTCAGTTGGGTTGGTCGTGTTGGACTGGGTATCTTGGACGGGGCCAAACAATGGCGGGACGCACGAGGCATCATCTGTATAGCCAGCAAGCAAGCATGCAAGCAAAGCACACTGTGTCACCACTTCAGTTATACGTTAGCGGGACGGGGCCTGTGTTGGGTTGGTCCTAGGACGGAAGCATGGAAGGCAGGACGGAAGCATGGAAGGCAGGACGGAAGGGTAGAAAGATGGAAAGAAGGGAGCTACTGGTGTGGATTCGCAGAATTAATGCACATCAAACTCTTCTCACCCCTTTTGAATAACCTCATCTGGTTTGACTTTTGTGTGTGTGTCTCCTTTTGACTTTTCTGAGTGGCAGCTCTTTTTTTCCTGTTTCCTTTTGCTCTGTGTGGGTGTTGAAGACGCAGAGAAGAACAGACATCTCCATTTAGTGACGGGTACGCCTGAGGAACGAGCATCTATCTGGGTATTAGAGGTTGTCTACCTACCTATTCGGTGGATCACGTTAGTTGGTTTGCAAGCCCGGCATGGCTGGGCTGGGTGACTGGGCTGCATCTGTTGTTTTGTTCTTGGGAAGAATGCTGGGACATGGTAGAGAAGTGACGGGGCTGGACGACGGATGGGATGGGATGGGATGAGAGTTTTGGTGCCGAACCACTGGCAGCACGTTGGATGGATATGCATTGTTTTGAGTGTAATCTGTAGTGCGGTTGAATTAGTGGGATAGAATTGGGCCGGGTTACTACCTACCTACCTAGGTAGGTAGGTACCTGGGTATGGTATTAGTGTAGGAAAAGAAGTGCGGTACGAGGCTCAGCCACATGCCCACATACTGTATTCTCTTTCCACTGTTATTGGCACTGTATTTCTTTAAATACTAGGTCTTGAGTGTTTACTATTATATAAAGGCGCCACATACATTTTATATATATAGGGAGCTAGCGTTCACCTATCTAACTCTAACATTCACCTACCTAGTAATTTTTATAGACCTACTTAATATCTATTTTCCTAATAACTCCCTTATATTTATAAGTACTTTTTAAGTTAATATTAAAAAACTTTATAATATAATTTCCTTCTTTAATTTTTAATATTTAAAGTATAAACTCCTTTTATACTTTTTTTTAATATACTTTTAATACTTTTTTAATATATCTTTTAATACTTTTTTAACTTATATATATTTAAGTATTAATTAAATATTTAAATATTAACTAATTATTAAAAGATTAAAAAGTAAGAAAGTAAAAGTAAAGATTATTTTTTTAACTTTTAATATTTTTAACTTTTAAACTTTTAATCTTTTAATATTTAATTAATATTAAAATATTTAGTTAATACTTAAATATATTTAAATTAAAAGAGTGTTAGAAAGTATATTAAAAGGTATATTAAAAAGTGTGTTAAAAAGTATATTAAAAGGGGTATTAAAAGAGGTATAAAAAAAGTTTATACTTTAAGTATTAAAAATTTAAAAAATTTTAATTAAGTATATAATTTTATATAAACTTTATATATTAAAAGTTATTATTAAGTAGGTTTATAGAAATTATTAGGTAGGTAGATATTAGAGCTAAATAGGTGGATATTAGCTTATATATAGGGATTAAAAATGAAACTACCTATTAGAAAAAGAAAAGCTTAGGTTTAAGTTTAATAGGTATCATTGTTCAATTTAAGATTGAGACTAAATGAGAAGACATTCTATGTTCTAATTATAATGCTGGTTTGTAATGCTGGTTTGTGTTGTTTAAATTGGGGGGGGGTTATTTCATTGTGCTGTATGTGACAGGTGAAGTGATGCCACCGCCCTCCCCCTCCCCTCCCCCCTCCCCCGGTTTTTATTCTAGTTATACACGGGCCTTTGGATTTTAGATTAGTATGGCTGTTCCTGTGCTTTATGAACAGACGTTTTTGGTCTGCTCTCGCATATATGTCTTCGAACGTAAACGGAATAGAAGAGAAACCAATTAATTACCTTGGTCGGGATGTGCGTGGACTCGACTTCGTTACATATATGTAATTCTGGATGTCTGTTCGTGTCTACAGTCGACGTGTTGCTAGAAGAGGCTAGCAGGTTATGAAATAGTATCTCCCTATGTTTCTTTTGTCTCTCATTGCATGCCGCTTTTCCGAAAGCTGCCTTTAGCCACGAAAGCAGACGTGGCATGGGATGCAGGAGAGCTGAAGAAGCCAGGCATCCTACATTTCCCCCATTGGACGACCATGCAGCATCCCCTGTATAGTTGCATGCATGCACAGCGGCAACAGAGGAAGGAGGAGACAATCGCCAGCCATTCGACAAGATGATTCGTCGCATTCTGACGAAAAGCAGGCTGTCAGCAGATGGGCGGCTGCTCAGGTGGTGAGGACGCGCTTTTCCAGCAAATTCTTACCCCGTAACTCAACTCGTTCATCTTTTTCCACCACTATCGCTGACAGCTGTCCACTAACATCGTTATACTCGCATTTGTCTATACGGGAAACCTTTCAGGGGCAGCCACTTGGCCATCATGCGTTGGGAGCGTCTCAAATTCTGGCACAAACGGTCTGATGGCTCCTCCAAGCCACCGGCTGTCTCGATTGGCGATGGTGCCGTTCAGCCATCACGAATCGCCACACCTAATCAGGCTCCGACCTCTCATGCACAATCAGGTATGAATAGAAAATGTGTCTTTCAATCCAGATCTTTGTGCTAAGCTTCATGTCAAATCAGCCATACTTCCTCGGGCGCCAGACCTTATGGCCGATGCCTCGCTACACGCGCTACCTACCGACGCAGCCGTTGCCTCTCCGACCTCGCTTACTGCAACCCCCTCGACAAAGTCGTCATCTGAAAGCGTTCTGGAGCGCCTTTGGATCAAGGCGTATGACAGTCTGAGAACTGATGAAAAGTCCACAGTCCTAGCTTACGAGACGCTGCTTGTGAAAAGACTGGAGGAACGCAATAAAGGCTCTTCCACCCAGATTACACTCGCAACATTGAACCAGCGGGAGCAACTGAGGGAATTTGTTGACACCAGCTTTGAAGGGTCTAAGAAAATTGCGACTGCGAAAGAGAACATGCAAGAATTCAACCGAGTTGCACAGCCCGTGAAAACAGTGATGGATGTCGTTGTTAAAGCAGCCCCTGAAGCTGCCCTCGCTTGGTCTTGCGTTTCTTTCGCTCTTCAGGTATGTCCTCCCGGATGCTTACGGTCGGTTGAATGGTACTAACATTGGATAGATACTCGCAAACCCATTGACAGAATCAACTGTTAACCGTGATGGCATCAAGAAGGTGCTCATGACGATGGATTGGTACCAGCGTCTTGTCGAGCTCCTAGTCGACGATGAAAGCCGGACACAAGATCTGAGAATAGAGCTGGAGAATCACATCGTCGAGCTTTACAAACGACTTCTCATCTATCAGATGAAGAGTGTCTGCCGGTATAATCGACGGGAGATCCTTGTCATCTTGAGAGATATGGTCAAGCTTGATAACTGGAAAGGCAAGCTAGATGATGTCGAAAACGCCGAAAAGCAGGTGCGCTCCAGATTGGAGCAGTATCAGAGGCAGTCCATCAACGACTCGATCCAGAAATTAGCTGGTATTCTGACTGAACAGTCCAATGAGATTGCGTCCGCGATTCAAGAGCAGACTAGGACACAACAGACAGCGCACGATGAATCGAAAAGACGAGAATTCCTGAGAGCCCTGCGCCAAACGGTCAATCCACAGGACGAGAAAGAACGCATCCAAGATGAGAAGGGAAACCTCCTCCGAGATTGTTACTCTTGGATTCTCGATCATGAGAAATTCTTGGAATGGCAACAGAACAAATCGACCAGGATACTCTGGGTCGCAGGAGATCCGGGAAAGGGAAAGACCATGCTTTTGTGCGGCATCATTGATGAGTTGGAGAAGAAGCCGACCAACGTATTATCTTATTTCTTCTGTCAAGCTACGCAGGAGACACTCAGCAACGCAACTGCTGTCCTGCGAGGGATCATATACGGCCTTGCAAAGAAGTACCCGCAGCTCGACCGTCACATATCTGAAAAGTATGAGGATGGTGGAGCGGCGGCTTTTGCCGGCGAAACCGCATGGGTCGTAATGCGTAACATTCTCAGAGCAATGTTGAGCGATCCGTATATGGATGGCGTCATCCTGATCGTGGATGCTCTCGATGAATGCGAGGAGGATCGCCAAAAGCTTCTGGGATTCATCTGTGATAGCTCACAAGCAGCCGATTCTCGTGCTAAATGGGTTGTTTCGAGTCGCAATTGGCCGGGGATCGGAAAGGCCATGGGCAAAGTCACGAAACACATATCGAAACTCTCTCTCGACCTGAACGACCACGTTGCTGGCGCTGTACGCAAATACATCAAACAGAAGGTGAAAGATCTTGCCACAGAGATCCCATTCGCAGGCAACCAGGCGCTCTGCGACCAAGTTACCGACTGTCTCGACAAAAACTCTGAAAATACCTTTCTGTGGGTGGCATTGGTCTGCAACGCACTTCGTCAAGGCAACGTTTACGAAGAGAGACACGTTTCAGGTTCCACTGGAATTTTGAACGAATTCCCCCGAGGTCTAGAGAACCTATACGGCCGGATGCTCGAGCACATCGAATCCGACACGAGGGACTCGGATAAGGGCCTTTGCAAACATATTCTAGCGGTCGCTTCCGTAATGAGGCGTCATGTCAGCCTGGAAGAACTTTGTTCAATAATGGAATTTTCAACTCATTTCGATGGTGAATTAGATACCTTGAAGTCCTCGGTCCGATATTGTGGTTCTTTCTTGAACATCCAACATGGAACGGTTTACTTCGTGCACCAATCAGCCGTGGATTTTCTTCAAAAGGAGGCTTTCGAGGAAATCTTCCCACGTGGTATCAAAGCTACGCATCAGGATGTGTTTGTTAGCTCGATCAAGGCCATGTCTAAGGTTTTAGTATGCCGCGACATTTACGGCCTGTGCAGACGCCACGGGCGAGAAGCTCTTGGTCTGGACCGGGATGAAATCACACCACCTCAATTGGACCCCCTACTTCCTATTCAGTATGCGAGCTTCTACTGGATCGACCACCTGGTCGAAATGGGCATGCCAATTGATAGTCGTGACATCGAAGTCATCCATCAGTTCCTTCGCAGAAGGTTTTTGTACTGGATAGAGGCCCTGGCACTCCTTCGTCAGCTTCCACAAGCTATCCGCAGCATACAAAAGCTTCAAAAACTGGTGGTAAGTTGAAGGGCGACGCCCCATGCAAGGATGCCGAGCTCACAGCTAACAAGCGGCCAGGCCGGAATGACAACCCCTGACGAAGAAAACCTATCGGAATTCCTTCACGACGCAAATCGATTTCTGCTCTATCATAGAGACATGATTGAAAGAACGCCGTTGCAGCTTTATGCTTCAGCCCTTATGTTCAGCCCGGAACAGAGCATCGTGAGGAGACAATTTTGGTCCGAGGCGCCCGACTGGGTCACGGTAACGCATGGTGTGGATACAAAATGGGACGCGTGTCTTCAAACTCTATTCGGGCACGGAGACTGGATCGTCACCCTCGCCTACTCTCCAGATGGCCAGTGGCTCGTTTCCGGTGATCTTGGCGGCGTTGTGAAGCTGTGGCACGTGGACAGCGGCACTTGCGAGCACACGCTCGACTACAATACGATTCCTGTCTATGTTGTAAAGTCATATCTCCAAGCAAAACCACCTTGCGTCGTGTCAGTTGCTTTCTCAGCTGATGGCCTTACATTCACGTCAGAATATTCGGATGGAATTTTCAAGGTTTTCGACAGAGTGACAGGCGATTGCATCGGCGAGATTACAGATCTAGCACGTCCAGAGAACGATGACTTACCATGGTTTCGGAATGTCGCAAGAACGGCAATCTCTCGAGATAGCCACTCAGCCGCATTTGTTTTGCTAGACAACTCGATCAGTATTCTGAAACTGGACAGCGGAGCTCCTCCACGCACAGTCAGGCCGCATTCGAACGAGGTCCATACGGTAGCTTTAACAGCAGACGGTCATTTCCTTGCCTCAACGTATGATCAAGGGAATATCGATATCCGGGACACTTCGACAGGAATAAGCACGCAAGTTATCAGCACTGACGAGAAAGGACTACAGTTGATATTCTCAGCCGACGGGCGATGGCTTGCAACAGGCGGTCAATCGGGCGGCGTGCGCGTTTGGGAAAGCACAACCGGCCGGTTGGCTTTGACGCTTAGACGCGACAGGGACGAAAACAAGAGTCCCGGTGCGCAGTCAATAGCGTTCTCAGATAACAGTCGCCTCGTTGCAGCTTCCTACGAAGGTGATCTTTGCGTTTGGGACACGACGACGAGTTCTCTTACATGGCGCCAAGATTCTGGGGTATATATCCCCTCTTTGTCATTTTCACCAGACTCCTTACGCCTTGTTTCAGGATCTTCTGATCGTACCATCAAAATCTGGGACTTACCAAAGGATATCGATAGCACAGCCGAAGTTCGCCTTGCACAAGGTTTACGCTACTCTGATGGACTTCACTTCGCAGCGTACTACCCCGCCGCTCAAGAGATTGAAATTTGGGCTGGAAGAACCGAAACTGCCATAGAAATGAAGAAATTCCACGAGAACGATGTTCGTATCATTTGCCTGTCCCCAGACCATCGCAGCCTTGCATCCGCCTCCATCGAGGGCAAAATCACAGTCTGGGACACGGACAGCGGGAATCAGAAACAAACATTTGGTGACTACGGAGGAAATCATTCCATAATTACCTCATTGGTCTTTCGAGGAAATTCTCAGCTTGCCTCGGGTCTTTTTGGGATGATAGATATTTGGGATGCGTCTGACGGAAGACACAGGCAAAGAGTCGAAGGTGAAGACGGCTACATAAAGCACATGACCTTCTCCTTGGACGGCCAGTTGCTCGCGTACAAGTCTCCTGATTTTCGGGATAAAAAGTCGCTAGTCACAGTCTGGGACATTGAGAAGGAACCACGCTGCCAGGTATTGAGAGCAGATTTGGGTGGCATCAAGAGCCCTACCGCATTGAGCTTCTCAGCAGACAGCCAGTTACTTGCAGTGGCCTCACGTGGAGACATATTCTTGTTGGATTTGAGATGTGGCACCTTCACATGGATATTAAAATTTGGCGCCTATTTCGGAAAAGCTCATGTCTCTTTTGACGCAAACCTATCAAGACGCCTGCATACTCGATTTGGCTTTCTGGACTTGACAGACCAAAACCCCAACGATATCGACTCAAGCAACGCAGAAGACGACGAGGTTTGTTCCGGAGACTCGAATGACGACGTCAGAATACTGTCAGTAACAAAGGGGCCTTCGGGGGATCCGTTGTCCTTTAGGGGATATGGCCTCAGCGATGACCTGGGGTGGGTCACGTATGATGAGCGGAGATTGTTTGAAATTCCATTCGACTACCGAGCGGGTCGCCGGAGTGAAATCACACCAGTCATCGGTGGCTCGACTCTTATTTGGATAAGCCATACGGGAAGGCTAATGCGGATGCATTTCAACCACTGATCGAGGCTGCACGGGGGCACCCTCACCACGCCACAAAACGGCCGGGTTCAGCGCAGACCGTCAGTGGAATGTCGCTGAAGCCCTGGGTGTGCGGAAGGCTTCTATTCAATTTCACTTGTAACTAGGCCTTGGTTGAATTTCCTATTGCAATAACTATGCCAACTTATCTTGAACCATGGCTTTGTGAACGGCAGAATCCTGGGCCTCGACTGCTCGAGTGCCTGCATCCTGCAGGTCAGGGTTGCCGCTCACTTCACTCGATGTAATCGTTATAGTGTAGTGCGTGTAAATAATCCCACTTTACCCCATTACAGGACACTGAAGACCTCAGTGCGAGTAGTGAAATATGCTTAGGTGTAAATATGGAGGGGATAGGGAGGAGGAGGAGGGAGGCGTGACAGCTGACTCTTATGAATGCTACTAGTAGATTCCAAATAATCAGTGACCATCAAGTACTATTTGTCACTCTCAGCCTGTTTGTCGAACATCCCTCTGGTGATAATATCTGAGGCATCTTGTGACTTCAATGTGGAGTGGCTGTAAATTTATTGATCATCTATGGACGTATTTCTTAATTTGTGTCAATCACTCCTTTTACACGCCACGGCCGGTCTCGCGACACCATCCGGGTCATCCCAACAGGAACACCCGACAACATCGCTGCCGCATCCACTGCTCAACCTGCTTCCCCGTTGAGATATATTGGGTGGTCTTAACGTGGCCAGGTGCCTGTCGACGCATTTTGCGCAAGGCTCCGTAGACACAGCCTCAAATTGAAAGATTTCACAGGTCTTGAGCGTGTACCGCCGTACAAAGGCAAAATTAAGTTTTACATGTGTGAGGATGAGACACGAAACTATTACCACACCACACAGGTATTTCATTTCCCTGAATTCTCCAGGGATTAAATCTCCCGGGAGTCGCAACAGCGATAAAGTACCTCTTAAACAATTATCATTACAATTCAGCACTATATCCGTCTCTGTCATGCATACACCAAAGAGAGCATCTCAGCGTGCATTTGACGTTCTGTACGTCTAACTTAACTAATAAAAAAAAAGGGGGTATGAATCCGTTTCCCAGCTCGACCAAAGCCTTTCCTTTCCTTTCCTCACTCCCAGCGAGGTCCCAAACCCAAGCACCTGAGCAGCTTCAGGCCCATTATTTACTTATACACACCCCAGGCCCAGGCCCCGCTACACCCGACTATGCCGACTCCCCCGCCGCGGCAGCGGCGCCGCGTCGCTCCAGATCGTAGTCATGGACACGCCCGCGCTGCTCGCCCCGTCGTCCATGTCCATGATCAGGTCCAGACCGCCAGCACCAGCACCGGTGCTGGCCCTGCTGCTGCTCCTCCCGACACCACCATTGAACCGCGATATCGGCACGCGGCTGGAACTGCTGTCATGCGACGCGTCCCGCCCCGACCGGCTCCGGCTGCGGCTGCGGCCCCGGCCCAGCCTCGGGGTCCACGGCCCGCCTGCGCCTGCCCCGCCCGCACCGTGATCAACGGACCGGCTCGTGGGGCGGGAGAAGCTGTGGTGGCGCGCGTGGTGGTGGTGGTCGGCCGTCAGCGTGGGCGTGCCGGGGGCGCTCTCGTTCATGCCGGTGTGGGTGTGTTGGTTCCGGGCCTGGTAGGTGGAGTAGACGGACACGGGGGTCCTGGGGGAGTACGGGCCCCCTGGGCTGCCCGGGCTGCCCGGGTTGGTGGTGTGGGCGTGTTGCCAATTGGGCGGCGGCGACGGCAGGGCCATGCCGATCTGGCTGCGGCGCGGGAGGCGCGGGTCTACGGCTATGGGGTCGTCGTCGGGCTCGTCGGGGATGGTGGAGAGGAGCGCCGCGGGCTCGGGCTTCCACACTGATGAGGGGCTGCTGCCCGAGAGGGAGAGGGAGCGTGGCGAGTTGGCGTACGTGTCGGCCGTGCTGAGCGGGGGCGGGTGCGGCGGCGGCAGCATCGCGGACGAGGAGCCGCGGATGGTGCTGCTGTAGTTGGACAGGGGGAGGTGGGAGGGGGCCCTGCACCTGAACATGTCGTCGTCGTCGTCGGGTACGTTGTGGCCCCTGCGGAGGAACTTGGGGACAAATGTCTTGTACATCTTCTTCTGGAATGTCTTGGTGGTGCCGAAGACTATGAAGGCGAGGAGGCTGGGGGATACCCCTGAAAGGTAGCCCCTGACGCTGGCGAGTGCTCGCCTGTGTGATGTGTCGGGCTCGGGCTTGTATGCGCTCTCTACGACGTGGCCTCTTGCCGAGAGCCTCGGACCGACGTTCGTGTACTCGAAGACGCTGGTCCAGGTCAGTTGTGTTCTAGGCCTTGTGATGGGCCATTGCCAAGAGACAGGATGCCTGCCATCCGGGGTGAGGGGACCTACCAGAGCATCACGAATGCTATTGAGAGGCGAATGACGAGCCAATTATCGAACGAGCCGTTTGGTGATCGGGACTTGTTTGAGTTGGCCCTGCTGCGGAAGCTTCTCTTGCCCGATGTCCCGGTTGATGCGTCCCCCTTTCCGTACTGAATCCCTCCCCATGTGTTGAGCTGATGGCGCGTCTGCACATACTTGAAGAGGATCATGAGCAGAAAGATGCACGCGCCGACCAGGCTGAGCAGAACTGTAGGAAAAAAAAGTTAGTGATGCCACTCAGTGAATTTGAGCCAGAAACGGTTCCAGAGAAATACCCACATTGCGCATTCGCCACGACCATGTAAACCATGAAGTTTTTGTGAATGAAATCAAGCTGAAGCAGTACGGTCATGATCACTGCCAGGACGATTGGGACGATCCGACCCGTGATGGATAACACCCGTAGGGCTTTCGGCTTCTTTGCCCACCAGCCATAGACGGTTGCCGTCAAGGAAAAGGAACTAGAATATTCCCATTAGGATAAGCACTTTCAAAAGAGGAGTCTGGAGTGGGCCTACAAGAAGAAAACCAGAGTTGATTCCACCGTGAACGCGAATATGCCTGCTCGCAGTTGTGTGTTAGTTGGGAAGATGTTTGTTGACCTGGAGTAAGTGACGCGCTGGCCCCTTGGAGAGATGGCATGCACAAAAGCAAGCAAGTCGTCTTGGACGAGGAGGAAGACAAGACATCGAAAAACATACGGATGTATGAAAGAACCAGCTTTAGACCAAAGATGCCCTTCTGATATTGGACCTCAGCGTCGTCGGCGTGGTCCTTACCATAGTAGTACTGGGCAACCATGAGATCCCTCCAGAAGATGTAGTCGTACAGCTGCTGGATGATGCTGGAGTAGGTGGCGAGGAGGGTGAAGTATGCGATGAAGGCGATGTAAGTCTTGCGCTCGTTGTGTGTCCAGATCAGCCAGACCAGGATGTTGTTGGCTATCAGACACACAAAGGAGTAGACGAGGCATCCGATAGCATCGCCCAAGACGCTGTCGGGAAGCTGAAAGGCCCCCATTCCACGATATTGTCATCCGGTGGTGGCGGTATCATAGTGTTCCGGAGGACCCAAGGTCCCTCGCGTGTGAAGGAGGGACAAAACAGACAGGACGGACGGCAGGAGGATTAAATCGGAGAAAGAGTGATGAGACGAGATTGGGCCGGGCTTTGAGAAGGGAACGGAAGGGATGGCGGGCTGTGCTGCAAGTTGCAAGACACACTGAGATACATGGACATTGTCACCTTGTAACCTTGGAAGTGGGCCGAGGATGCAGCAGGGCAACATTGAACAGGCCGGGAGCCCGCCAGGAACCACCCACTTCTTGACCGGATGCGAGGTGGGAGGACCAGGCCGAGCGGCGTGGTTCCCATTTCGGAGCAGTTCCTGCATTGCGAGAGGGCGGCATCATGACTCGGTGGGGGGTTGTGTGGGAGTGGGCCCCACGTGGGTTGGCGATGCCACAGCGGTGCAGACTGACGGTTTCGGGTTGAAGGAGAGGCGGATGGATATGCAGGCACGGGCCAGGTCCACACGAATCAGCAAATGTGCGGTGCGGGCGCGATGGGGGGCGCCGCCGCGTGGGGTCTGGGTGTGGTCTCGTCTTGGTATGATGTCTCGGAGTTTTAGGGAACATACTCCGTACAGACCGCAGTATTAAATGGCCGTCCTCGTTTCCGAGCCCTTGATGCCTGTGTGTTGGTCGTTGTCTGCCGCAGTGAGCATTTTGCACGGGTCTTAAAAGGCTCGTACTATGTCGTATTAGACTGCCCGCTGGGGGAACACGCGCGCCTGGGCGAGGACCCTTGGCGTGTGCTGCACGTGGGAATCTGTCTGAAACACCGAGCATCCAACCCTGGAGGCTGGCAGAGGCGATAGAAATAGCACCAAGGCTGCAGCATCCTGGCACGATGGCAACACAGATGCGATCTCAGATTGGGGCTCCAAGAGCCCTACCAAAGCATGGTCCCCACCCAACCCCCAAGAGGCATGTGTAGCCCTCGCACCAGAGGACGTCTGCAAATAGCATCACTGCCGGTGGTATGATGGCCGTCGGCCTGGCGTTGATGAGACATGGCGACGATGGTCCCAGAAGGTCCCAGACAGAAGGGCTTATAGTTTCAATAGGCTCCTAAGCGAGGTCAGGGTGTGGGTCGGTCATGTGTGAAAGTGTTGGGGTCGGTATGTCGGTGGTTGAATCGTGCGCATCGTGGGAACGAGATGGATGCCATGGTGAAGGCACATGCAAGTGGGTGCAAGATGGGCGAATCCATCCCGAGCGCCGAGCTGACCGATAGTCAGGCCATGGCTGCTGATCGATTGATCAATTGATGGACTGGCTGTCCCCTGCCAGCACTAGAGGTGCGATGTGACCGTATTGCGCAAGAGTGGCCGACGCACGACATTGACTGAGATTGAATTGAAGATTGGAAAAGGGACCGCAGTGGTACGTGACGATAGTATTTAGGTTGGATTTGGACTAGCTGGTCGGGTTGGACAGGGTCTCGACGGACACGGCTCGATTGGGGATCCCAGCCCATCTTGTTTGTCGGCCGAGAGAGAACCGGAATGGCGGAATGGGACGTTGTCGTGTGCAGTCGCTGCAGTTGTGCACGTTCAAGGTTGGCAGTCGGATGGCTTTCCACGCCAGTTCGTCTGAAGGTCAATGATGATGAGTCAGCAGACCACGCCTTCCTCCCACAGACGGAAAGAACTCTGCACAGCACAACGTCCTGCCATTATCGTGACACCACTCTTTTGGTCAGTCTTCGACTTTATTAATCTGACCCTTTTTTTCGTCCTCGAACTGGCCAGATGCACAGACATACCAGGCCGTCATTTACACAACACGAAGCTCTTTGACGTTCCTGGACCATTATCCGGGCGGGGACGGTGGGAGTGCAGGAGTGAGTGTAGGTTCCAAGGTTCCAAGGTTGTGTTTTGTGGATCGGAAAGGGGGCTGCAGGGCGCAGTGGACGTGCGCAACAACAAACCAGACGGGATCGACGCCCTGACAGTACGGAGGACCACACTAGTATCCACGGAAGCGATCCGATCGAGGGGGCTGCTGCCATCTGATGTTGGTCGGCCAGGCTGCCAGGGTTCAACCGTGATCGCGATATTGGATTGTTCTGATTGTGTCGACGCCACGCCACGGTAGCCTCAGTCCCACCCTGGAGTCGTGACTGATCTGATCAATCTATCTGTGCGATCAAATCTCGACCTCGGCCCCCTTATCGAACCTGATCTATCTGATCAGTGATCAGTCCTTGGCAGGCGATGCCGAGGCCCATGTCACCGTCAATGCCACCGTGGATGCCACCACCCCAACAAGTCGCACACATCTTGTCCTGCCTGTCCAGCCGCCTCCTCGATGCCGCCAGCCTGGCCGCACGAGCCTCCCTCGCCGGCCTCCTCCTCGGCACTGCCCTCCTCCTGGCCCTCGCCATCTACCGCCTCCACCTCCACCCCTTGTCTCGCGTCCCTGGGCCCCGCCTCGCCGCCCTCACCAACTGCTGGCTCGCCTGCCATGTCCGAAACGGCCGCATGCTGCAGCTTGGCAAGACCCTGCACGCCCGGTACGGCCCCGCAGTCCGGGTCGGCCCTAACGAGGTCTGGTTCGACACCAAGGACGCCTTCAGGCTGATCTACAGTAGGTTGTATCTATCGTCTAGCTCTAGCTAAGGTCTAGATAGCAAGTCACTGCGCTGTCACAGGCAGGCTGACCCCAGACTGACTAGGTCCTACCAACGGCTATGAAAAGTCATCCTTTTACCGTACGTGATACCACCTCGGCTGCCTCACCCCTGGCTCCCCGCCGCTTGCTGCAGCACCACGGGCCGCCGGTGTGAACAAGTCTAACACCGCCAGCCATGCAACAGTGGCGACGGAGCTGCTCAAGCCCAGGCTCGACGCCCGCCTCGCCATCCCGTCCCCGGACACCCTGGACCTCCTCGCCGAGCGCGACATGAGGCGCTACCGCCTGCAGAGGCGCCTGATCGGCCCCGTCTACCACGCCAGCAACGTCAGGCGCTACGAGGCCGCCGCCGACGCCGTCCTGCTGCGCGTCATCCGCCGGCTGCGCGCCCTGGGCGACGAGGAGGAGGTCGACCTCACCGAGTGGATGCACATCGTCACCGTCGAGTGCCTCGGCGCCGTCAGCCTGTCCTGGTCGCCCGGCTACCTCGACGGCGGGTCCGACGGCGGCTCGGGCGAGCTGGCCTACACGGGCTGGAGGCGCAAGAGCGTCTTCGGGCTCTTCCCCCTCGCCGTCATCGTCGAGCCCTTCTCCAAGCACTTTGGCCGCGCCTTCTCTGTCCTCTGGGGCGTCACCTACCACATCCCAAAGAGCAGGCCATTCTTCCCTGTGGGTGTAACACTTGCCCACCTCCCCTCCTTCCTTCCTGCCTGCCTGCCTGCGGATTTGTTGTTCGCGCGTGCTGACACCTCAGAAACAAACAAGGCCGTGCAGAAGAAGACCAACTCTCGCATCCGCTCGGTCCTGCGGGGCAAGGCCCGCAACAACAAGCAGGACATCACGGCGGACCTGATCAGGCTTCACCAGCAGCGGCCCGGCGAGTTCAAGGAGCACTACCTGCGGCGCATGGCCATCACCAACTTCGGCGCCGGCCACGAGACCATGACATCGACGCTGACCTCGGCACTCGCCATGCTCGGCGCGCACCCCGAGGCCCAGCGGCGAGTCGCGCGCGAGGTGTCTGCCGCCGCTGCCGCTGCTGCTGCTGGTGCTGGTGCTGAGGGCCAGGGACAGGGACAGGGACTGTTTCCCTACGACGAGGCGGCGCGGCTCCGGCTCACGCAGGCGAGCATCAGGGAGGCGCAGCGGCTGCACCCCGTCATCGGCATGGCGCTGCCGCGGAGGGTGCCGTTGGGCGGCATGGCCGTGCACGGGCTGGCGGTCCCGGCGGGCACGACGGTGGGCTGCAACCCGGTGTCGCTGCACCGCAGCCGGGAGATCTTTGGGGAGGACGCCGACGAGTTCCGGCCGGAGCGGTGGCTTGTCGGCGGTAGCGGCAGCGGCAGCAACCAGAAACAAGACCAAGACCAGCAACAACAAGAAGAAGAAGAAGGGGGAGAAGGGGAAGAGGAAAAGAGGATCAGGGCCATGGAGCGGTATAACCTCATCTGGGGCGGGGGCGCGCGGACCTGCCCCGGCAGGCACCTCGCCGAGATGGTCGTGTCCAAGGCCGTGGCGGCGCTGGTTGCGAACTTTGAGGTCGAGGTCGCTGCTCTGCCGCGGGATGAGGAGATGCCTTATTACTTCATGGCCATGCTTACTGGTGTCAAGGCGCGGTTCATACCCCGGGAGGTGGTCGTACCGGGGGTGGCGGGTGGTGAGGCGGCGGCCGGTTGAGCTTGGGGCTGCGGACGTTCTTGATGAAGGGGGTGGTTGATCGGCCTTCTTTGACCGTGGCGGGATGGGCGGCCTGGGCAGACATGGCATGTTGGCGTGCTGGCGTGTGCCGGGCTTGACCTGTCCATTCACTGCACGGACTACTGCTACTTTAGTGGTCGTGACAGATGCCTGGCGTTGTGGCCTTGCTGCCATCGCACGACGACACAGACCCGAGCCACGACTCCAGACCGAGGAAAACGGGTGCCCCCGCAGCCCTCTGCAGCCGTAATTATGTGAATCCCGCTTGGGTCCAACTGCTCGTGGATGGCAGGGAGTTAACTAACTTGTCTACGGGCATAGCGGTTAGACAGTCTGCCGGCTGGAGGTTGCCTCGCGCAAGGCCCGTTGAGGACGGTGAAGCCTTGGCCGAGGCCGTTTCCGGTTCCTTGGCTGTCTATTGATGGATGCCAATTGATGGAGAAGTGCGACATGGACAAATGACCGCGGTGGCTCTCCATTGACAGGACAGCCTGGGGGGCAGATGCACTGGCTACGTGGAATGAACCGACGGTTGTCTCGTGTCGGCTGGCGATCCGGATCAACAGTGTCGTTGGTGATGGCAGTAGTAGATCGGCGGGCAGAGTACCAGCACCTGGATCCTGGTACGGAGTATCCTGGTCAACCCCACGCCTCGCCCCGGCCTGTAGACCAGGTAGGTGTTTCACGTATGACTCGGGCTGTCGGCGCCGATGGACAAGGGCCCAGGCCCAGGCAAGACACGCCGTTGACTGGAATGCGCCGTTGCACCGTTTTGATCTGCGGAGGGCCATCCGGGTACCCGATCCTTACCTGTCTGCCTGTCAGTCAGGATAGATAGATGACAGACACGTGCGGACAGGGTTTGACAACGTGGGAGGTGCGAGGGTATCTTGACGGGAGGAATGTGTAGAGTATAGACAGAGGTAGAAATAAGTACAACCCTGTGTCTTGTCTCAGTTTGGACTTTGAAGTTCCAGTAGAGCTAGAAGCTTTTTGGGGGGTGTTACTTGCCCTGCCGTACTCCGTACCTCCCGCAAACGGCTCCCGCCTTGTTCTAATCATTAGCGCTCAGCACCTGAGCTTATCTTATCGTGACATCACATGGGAGAGAGAGCTCACCCAGCTCCTGCACTGCGCAATGCGCCTGTGCTGCCTGTAGCTCTCTCTCTCTGCCTACTGCATCTGTGCATTGACCTGCCGTCCAATCCATCCATTTGTTCTTGTTCCCTCCTCTTGACCCACCCAATCCTCCCCATCTTTTCCTCCCAACAACCTACTTCACCAAAGATGTGATCAGACTGCTGGATAGTGCAGCCCACGCAGTTGTTGTTTGCTCACACTTACCATTCGCAGGGGACGAAAGCCAGTGGAGGTTCAACCCAGTCCAGCTGCAGCCAGAGCGCAGACGCCGCCGCCAAGATGGCGGCCAGCTCAGCCTCGTCCTCGTCCTCGTCGCCCTCAGACTCGCGTCACGGCGATTCGCTGCACGCAGGTGGTGGCCCAGACCACCGCCAGCCAGCCAAGCACGCCCACGATGCACCGCCCGTCCCCGTCGAGGTCCTCGTCGAGTACCTGCTCGCCGCCAAGCGCGCCCTCTCCTCCATGACCCTCGTCCTCCGCGCCAACGACCTGACCACCCACGCCCGCCAGCTGCACGAGGAGTCCGTCATCCTGCGCGCCCAGACCGCCTTCCTCAGCAAGGGCATCGCCGAGCAGAGGAGGCTCCTCAACAGGGTCCGCCGGAGCATGATACGCACCTACGACGCCGGCAAGAGCGAGTTCAAGCACATCATCAGGACCCTTGACCTCGCCAACGAGAAGCTCGAGACCACCATGGAGATGCTGAGGAACACCCCCGTCGACCCTGTCTTCAGGCCGCCGGGCGATGACCCAAAAAACTTGTTGGACTTTGTCGACGAGAACCAGGTCCATGGCATGCGAGAGGCTCTGAAAGAGAGCATCGCCGGATTGCAGGTACGGCCTCTGATCCGACTGACTGACTGACTGAAACGTATCCATACTCACCGTCGAACGCACGACACAGGCCACACAGACCTCCTTCGACGGCGACCTCTTCCGCTTCGACGACGACCTCCGCGCCATCGCCAAGGTCCTCAACTCGTCCGCCTCACCGACACCCTCCAAGTCACCCGCCGACTCGACCAGCCAGCCACCCTCCACCATCCCGATACTGGACCTCCTGGCCTCCCTGACCAGCCGCGCCCACTCCATGGCCGAGCACCTGGCCTCGCTCACCCACCACTTCGACAAGTGCGTGACAGCCGTGCGCATCACAGAGGGCGGCACCGCCCTCGCGCGACGCAAGGCAGCCGAGGACACCAACAGCAGCGGCAGCCCGGACGCCGTGTCGATATCGGGCGTCATCGCCGAGCAGGAGCAGGCTAACGACGCGGACCTCGACCCGGACGAGAAGGCCGAGATCGTCCACGTCGTGATGCAGGACGCCCCCGAGGTGGACGAGGTGGTCGCGGACCTCAACGCCGAGATGTCCCAGATGGACGCCGAGTTCGCCGCCCTGCGGGACCAGGCGGAGCAGGTGCGCGGGGGCTCCGCGGCGGTGACGGGCGCGTTCCACCTCCTCGAGGAGGTCGGTGCGCGGCTGCCGGGCTACATCGCGGCCGAGGCCGAGTTCTCGGAGCGGTGGGCGGCCGAGAAGGGCGGGATCTCGGCGCGGCTGGGGGAGATGGAGACGCTGCGGGACTTCTACGAGGGGTACGCGAGCGCGTACGACAGCCTCATCCTGGAGGTGGAGCGGCGGCGGGCGGTGGAGGACCGGATCCGGGGCGTGTGGCGCAAGGCGAAGGAGCAGGCGGACCGGCTGGTCGAGTCGGACTGGCGGGACCGCGAGGCGTTCCGCTCCGAGGTGGGCGACTACCTGCCTACCGACCTGTGGGCCGGGATGAGCGGGCCGCTGAGGCGGTGGGAGGTTGTGCGTGCCGGTGGCGGCGGCGGTGATGGTGATGGTGATGGTGGTGTTGTGCGTGGAGGGGGTGAGGGTGGTGGTGGGGGGAGCATGAGTTTGAGTGTGGGTATGCCCAGGCAGGATGATGGGAGCGCGGTCACGCTTAGCCGGGAGGTTGTCGATGCTGCGAGGGAGCGGATCAGGACTGGTGCGGCGGGGGGTGCGCGGGCGCCTGCTGCTGAGTGAGTGAGTGACTGAGTGAGGGAGGGCTCGAGAAGCTGCGTCCTCCTGACTGACTGACTGAACTGGATTACCTTTTTTTGCCTTTACGCCGGCGTTTGTGGGCGGGCACACCCACCGGATCTGCCAGCCGGTCGGCTCAGCCGGTCAGGTTTTTGGGGTTTCTGGAGCCTTTTGCTCCATTTGTGTTTGTTTGTTTGTTTGTTTCATCATACCCACCACCCACCGCCACATATGGTTCTTGGCTGGGCATATGGCGTTTATCATTGGGGTTGTGATTTTGGTTTCTTTGTTGTTCCTGGTAGGGATGGAAGGATAGATTTAGCAAATGGACAGAGATGGAAGAACGGACAGATGGACAGATACCTAAGTACAGACAGACAGACAGACAGACAGACGGACGGACCACATACTTCACTCATTTTACCTTAAGTTTGGCTGGCCCTGTGGCTGGCTGGTATGGGGGGTTTTGGCTTGTTCTCCAGCACATATTGTGATAGTAACTTTATCAATCTCATCATCAACATACTGGAAAGGTTAGGCTTCGTAGATGAGTATCACAAACATACCTTAGGGTAGAGAGACTTTGATTCCATGAATCTGATGATGGAGCTTCGCTTGTGTGCGGTGTGTAGCATACTCAGGTACGGAGTTAGTCACATGCAGGACGTTGTGGCTTGAATGAAGGAAGGATGTGTTCTGTGTGTGTGGGGGTGTGGGGGGGCCTTTGTTTGATGGAACTGGCGGCTTAATATTGATGAGCCAGCTAGTCGCATGGCTGTGGCCTGGATGGATGGAGTAAATGGACAAGAATGACTGGCTAGCTTTAACCCCGGCCAACAAACAGTTGTTGCTAGTTACACGCCGGTCGAATCAGACATGCCAGTGGCTCATCAGATGCAGATACTTAACGGCGCCATCATAAGCTGTTGCTGCTAGCCTTGCTTGTGTGTCTATCGCAAGGCTCGAGTCTCATAAAACATAGGTACGTCAAATCTTTCCAATGTGAATTGGTGGCTGTCTGACTTTCTGGCGAAAAGAAAACGAAATCCCCATGAGGGAGGACATGTCATAAATCCCAACAGCGCAATCCAATGTTACATCATACGACATTCCCAACCAAAACAAACAACAGAACTTCACCCCAAATCCACCTCGGATTGACCAATACCTTCAAGTCGAACCCTGAGGGTCCTCTTCCGTAACGACCCCCAGTCCAAGGTTGACGCGATAGACCTGGCCCGTCTGCTCAGGCAGCAACCCCTGACCCGCGTCCGGATCCTCAACCGGCTCGGGGCTCGGCTCCCGGCGGCGGATCTGCATGAACTGAGAGCCCGTGTAGGGGAGGTACTGCGCCGTGACGGCGGGGCCGCGCGAGAACATGGCCGGCGCGCCGCCGAGCTGGTGCGGCTGCGCGAACGCGTCGCACGCGCAGTCGATGCGCAGCGGCTCGAAGTACCGCGGGTCGCCGTAGTCGACGGAGAGCTCCTCGCCCGCGCTGACGGGGCGCTTGGTCCTGAAGACGATGGCGCGCCGGCGGCCGTACATGTCGGACTTGACGGACAGGTTTGGGTTGCAGTGGTGGTTGAGGAAGCGGGTCCAGTTGCCCGCTCGTGTGGCGCCTGTTTTTGGGTTTTTTTTTCCCTTAGCCTTTTTTGAACTCTTATTGCTCCTTCTTTGGGCTGGACCGGCTGGGGGGGTGAAGACTGAAGACCCCCCAGTGATGCTCCAATGCCTGACTGATCACTTGTGCACAGCGGGGGGATTCCGGGGGACTCACTGATGGCGGCTACACCTTCAATGACATACTGGTAGTGGTCGATGTCGTCCGGGTCCTCCTCCTCCGGCCGCAGCTCCCCCAGGTACTCACCCAGCACTCGGCCCGCGGGGAGGTTTGTCCGGGCAAAGACGCCCAGGCCCTTGGTAGGGGTGACCCTGAGCTCGATGCGGTTGTTCTCGGTGTCGGCTGCCCGTGTGCGGAAAGCGGCCAGGCATGGCCCACCGAGGCAGAGCACGGTGTTCTTTCTCGTGTTGTGGCCCCATCCTCTGCACATCGCGCAGATGTAGTCTTCCCAATCATGGTGCACAACACCGCGGACGGTGAGGTCCGACTCCCACTGAGAAATGTTGCCGTGTCAGACTTGTTCACGTGTTGCCAGTATGATGTATCCTCCTCTGTGCCCAGGGCTCACAGGGGCAACGGATAGAAGAAGCATAGGCGTTAGGAGGCCCTTGGAGGATGCACTTTGCTTACTATGTCTGGCTCGAGAATCACATGCTCTGATATGCGCGCTGGACCTGGTAGGTTCATGGTCTTCAGCTGGTCTTTCTCGTCCCGGTATTGGAAAAGATTCTGCAGCAGGGGAGCAAGAATTCGGTTCGGGTTGAAAAGACTCCGTTCCCGAGTCGCCATTGCAATGATGATATCCAAGAAAAGGACGATTGTCAAAAGGTAGTCTGACGACTATTCAACGGATGATGTAACCAAAGAGAGGTGTAGCTATGGAGGGCATGAATACAGAAAACATATATGACCAAGATTGTTTCTTTGATATTATGCCAGCAGGCTGGTGTTCCTGCGCGTCGAAATGCGGGGCCCTGGAAGAAGGAAATCCTGGAGCGAGAAGACCACTGGGCTGTTGCGAAGACAAAGAGATGCTACAACGGCAACCCTGCTGAATTGGGCAGTGTTGGCTCCTGGTGAATGAAAGAAGTAGGTGAGCGGGCCGACTGAAAGGAAGCCGCCGGAAACGACCATGTAGAAGGACTGCATTAACCAATTTAGGTTCAGGTTCTAGGTGGAAACCCTCTCCTGAAATGGAAACACTGAAGTAGTAATCTGGTTCGATTGTGCTCTGAGACCCGTTGAAGCGGATTTCAGGTGATCGTTGTTACCAGTTAGAGATGTACTCTGGGACATCCACCATGTTTCTCTTTTGTGTAACGAGGTGTCTGTTGCCTATCAGGCAACAGGAGGTATGACTCCATATTTAGAGTTTTCCTCTCTCTAAGAGGAATTAGGTGTTTGGACAAGCAAGCAAGCCTAAAGAGGTTTGCTCCTATTTGGGCCAGTAATAAGACACATGGGCATGAAGACATGGAAGCAGAGGCTGGTGAGCAATCATGGAATAGAAAAAAGATCAAACTTTCTCGCACAAGCGTCTTAAGTATGGGCCGAAAGATGTCAGAGCTAGTAGACATTCCACGGAGCTATAACCCATGTGTACCGACTGCTCGGTTGGTTCGGAATGACAATATTATGGTTATCTGCCCCCCGTGCGAGGATAACTTTGGCGAAACTGGGAAGCCTGCAACAGGGGCGAGCTTTACCCAATCTCCGACAATGCCTTCATACACTGTCTGCAGACACTTCAGAAGGTATACTGTGCTGGAATAGTTTTGGTAATGAAGGGAAAACAAGTAAAACAGGCGGAGGGAATTGAGTGGTAACCTTGTGCGTGTGCGTTTACAGAAAAGGCAGACGCTGAGTTCCAACACATGGGCTCGGACATAGACAAGATCTCCGGCGCAGACAAATACGTGGTTGCTGTATTCCGTCGCAAGTCAAACATATTATATGTGCTGAGTGTTTGGCGCCATCCCAATACTTGCTTTGACCAGATTTGTTGGTCCTGGTGCTATACTGTTTGTTAGGCAATGGGCCACCATGATAGCCGACCGCCATGGTCCGTATTGCCTTGAAACGCCATCAACCCGAGTCTGTCTAACACTACCTAGGTAGTCACAGTTGTTGCTGTGGCCATAATTATTTACACAGCGCCTTCTTTGGGGTCTTGCCCCTTCCAGAAAACCCACCCAATGCTGATGACAAACTTCATGGCAAAGACAAACCATAGGACAGGCTGGATCTGCCCGGTGGCCTTCAACATCCAGCCTCCGATGATGCTCCCGACCAGCGTCAGCACAAAGCCGGCCACTCTGTTGTTCCTCTTGCGATTCCCAGTGAACACAGGTCTCGACAGAAGCTTCGGGTCGGACATTAGGTCGCACATGAGGCTGGTGATGACAACTGTGGGAACTGCAGTATTCCGTGTCAGCCGTCAAAGACGCAGCAGAGAGATTCAGTGTAGATCAAAAAGGGGAAACAGGGTCAAAACGTAACCAGAAATGGTTTGAATTCCCGCAACGAAGACAAAAGATATTTACGTCACCGGAAGAAGGCAGAATATCCACATTTTTAAAGAAAAGAAATTGAAATGTGTCCACAAGCAACAAACAACCTACCCTCGTTAACGCCCAGCACGCGGCTGGCAACGATCTGGCCGGCGGCCTGGAAGCTGAGGAGGGCGATGGGCGCCATCTCGCGCCAGTCGGTGTGCTCGCCCTCCTCCTGGCGCTGGTTGACGGCGCCGGCCTCGGCCAGCGCGGCGGCGACGCACACGCACGCGGCCTGGGCCAGGAAGCCCAGGGTCAGCACGCCGCGCTGCGTGGGCCGCGGGACCAGGCGCCTGTGGAGGCGGCTGAAGAAGACGGCGCCGATGGCGAAGCAGCCGATGGAGCAGAGCGAGCGGGCCCAGTCGTAGGGCTTGATGTTCTGGTTGGACGCGCCGAGGGCCAGGAAGATCGTGTTGCCTGTCTGCATGGAGACGAAGGTGCCGTATGCTGGCCGCGGGAGGAAGTTGGGTCTTGTTAGCAAAAGAGCTAGGCGCGGCCGGTTTGGTTTTCTGGTGTCTGCTTACCTTGGAACATGGTCGTGTCCAGGAGTCCGGTGATGAAGCAGCATGCCAGGAGTGGGATGTTGGCGAGGCTGAGATCGATAACTCCTTCCCATCGCCGCATCAGCGACTTGGAGAGGCCCGTATCTGCCTTGTAGCCATACTGTTCGTTCTCGCTCGAATCCTGTGGCTGACTTTCGACCATTTTGCTCATTGTGAGAGTGATAAAAGTCGTAACGGTGCACTTTCGCTTCAGATGGCTGTGTATTGAATCCAGGAGAAATTCCAAGAACTGGCGCACACTGGGGATGTTGAGGTCTTGGGAACCGTCCTTCACATCGGTATTTCTCCGGAATGAGGTTCAACCATCCTGCAGATCACGGCCGAGCGAGGTCCATCTCCGACCGTCGGGACCTTGGCACATTCCAGGCGGATAATGTCATGGACGCTAGACACGTAGAGGCGGCAGCCACGGCCTTGGCTTTGCTGACCACACGCGCCGTGGGCAGGCGTCAGAGAAGGGGGCGAAGCAGAAAAAGGGGACGATTGATGGTGATCTCGGCAAGGTGTGACAGAATATGGAACCCCCATGGCGGCAAAACGGTGTTAAGTTGTCGTCGCAAACAACAGCCTGTTGGCGATAGATGGATCGTCATGTCGATGCCGCCTCGACTGCTCTATCTCTGCGATGGAGGGTGACATGTCGCGTACTTAGACGCGCCAAGGTGTCTCTGCGAGCGCTTCTACCCAGTCGCTTCCACCTTGGCCTTAGACGCCCAGAACTTGTAAGAGCGGGCCGCGAGAGAGGACCCTAAGCTAGAACACACATGTACCAGTAGACGAATGCGGAGCGTGGCAAGACAGGAAACCATGATGTAAATCCGTCCCGCCAAGGCAAACTGGTGGGGGAGGACAGAGTACCTTGAGGACCAATTCTCCTCCATGTCCCCTGCCTATGTACAATGCATGGGATATCGTGAGCCAAGATTGTGTGACGTCCTCAGACCCGTGGGGAGGCAGTGGATACGTGGCTGCTAGGCGGTGTTCCAATGGGCCTGTGAAACGCCCCGGCCAAAAAAAGCATTCGCCCCGGCGGATCGTCGACCCCAGATATCGATGCTGTCTATCTGAGGAAGATGTACCAAGATTTTCTTTTGAAAATCCGGGAAGGGAGAAGCGCAGGCAGTAAGACTCCACGGATGATCGACATCAGCAACACCGGCATGGCTTACCGACCTGCGTGGGATGGGCCGAACGCTTTTCAGAGGGAGGAAGCAAATAAGCAAGCTATCGGGACTTGGCCATCTTCGGGGTCCGGGCGAGATCGCAGGACGACGGAAGCTTCTAGCCCAATACGTGTATACAAGACAGGCCGGACCAAGGCCAACCCCTGAGTGGAACCTAGGAACCTAGCAAAGACTCGGGAGCTCCCGCTGCCCGCCAACGGGAAGCCAGGAAGGGCCAACTTGGCGGTGACGACTGGGGCTGCTGGGCTTCGCTGGGCTGCCATCCGGAGCAACGGACGACAGCCTTGGCTCAGCCTTGGCGTGATAACAGCCTCTTGGCCCCCATCAGATCTCGCCGACGTATTGACCGAGCCAGGGGGGAGCACGTGCTGGGCCAGCCCCCTCGACCTGTCTGTCGTGCCTGTACGGAGGAGGTTCTTCAGGCGGCCGGCACGGTGTCGTCCCCATGACTATCCCCCAAGCCCGGCGCTTTTATCCTGGTGATGAGTGCCTCAGGTGGAGCCAAAGATGCAGGTCGACGCGAAACAGATGCACTCCAGGGAGCGAATGCGAGCGAGGGCTGCCTGCCCCATGCCAGGCGGTCACCGTCGAGGTGGACCGGAGTAGAGAGGCCCCCCCACGCTGGGTGGAGACATTTTATTCCCTCAGTCACCGTTAGCTGCAAGAGGCGTGCATATCAGATACGATACGATACGCTGCGCATATGCAGCCGCGGCATGCCCCGGCGCGGATTTATGCGCAGGCCGTCGTTGCTTGGATGCTACTTCATCCGGAAACGCGTCTAGGCCCCTTCTGCCGAGAATGTAACGTCCACGCCCCCATTCGTCCCAATTGGAGCTGGAAATTTCAGCCTCGTCTACCATACGCACTTGGCAACTTGGCTAACTACCACTGCTTGGCGCTGGAATGGAGTCCGACTGTCCCATGCATCTACCTAGGTATGTATCTGTCAAGCACGGGCAGCCCAAAGATCACAGCCTGCCCGCCACTAGTGCCACCGTCGATACAAGTGGCTACTGGCCCTCAACGGCTTGGCGTCGATGTCTTCGGTGGCCAAGCTCCGCCCAGCCACCTGCCGTCCTAACATTGACTCCGCGGCGGGAAATGCCAGATATTCATTCCACTCCGCCCTCAACGTAACTCCCACTAGAGGTCTGGAAGTCCCTTACCTGAGTGGTGGAATCGTGCTGATGGGGGCTGTGCACAATATTCCGAACCGGCCATCCGGGCGAGGTGGATAGTGAATAACAAAATGGTCATCCAAAAACTATTACTTTGACAGGTTTATTGTGGCTTGGGGTTGGCCGCTCAATATGTTCTTGAGGACGTGGTGCAATTTGAAGTGACCTCCTGGAATGAACATGTCCCGGGGCTTTACGGGAGATACAGCGGAGAAAAGCTCCTGGCCAAGCCATTATACAGACAATGCCAGGCTGTACCGAGTCCAATGAGACATCAGGCTCGGGGCATTGTAAGATGGCCACACCTTGTATGATTGGCCTGTAGAGTTGGACAAGTGTAACGTCGTATGAATGACCCGTCGATCCTTGAATCCTGCGTTCTTTTACTCTTCTCTTGTAAAGGCTGGTAGACAAATCCCGGGGCCACTCAGGACAATGCTTGGGTCCCCGAGCACGGAAGTGAAGTCCTGGTTTTCCGGTGCCCCTCAATCAAACCCCGGATTGGCGCTTCATTGCATCGAGTAATGATGGGACCTCTCAGATTGCGATATTTGTCACCTGGGCGTAGGCTGCGGCTTACGATTCTGCGTCCGAATCCCAACGCGGTCATAGGGTCCGCGAGTCATAGAGTGCGACGGCGGCTATCTCATTTGGTGGAACGACGGCTTTTCCTACCGGAGTCGAACAGCGGTCAGATGAGGCGCGGCCTCGGAAACATTGAGTGGTGATATAAATGACATGCACAGAACATCAGTTTCCGACATTTGGAAATACATGATCACTTTCTGCTGAACCCTATTCAAGGCCTGGTGCGGTGGTGTACTCGTCTCTACGATAATTATCTCTCATCGGCATCAGTTAGCCCGACAGCTTTACTACGGGCATTGCTATCAGTAAAATGTCCTTTCTGCTAGCCGTCCCTCGATTGTGGCGAGTATGGCGCAGAAAATGACACAGTTTCCGTAACAGGGGGCTGCAGGATGCTTTGTAGTTATGCATGTGTGCTGTATGTGACTATACTATTTCACTTGCTGGACGCACCGCCGGAGACAAGCATAATGCAAAGCTTGTGTCCATGCTTGTCTTTGTGACTACGCTCACAACGACTTACCGCATTGAACATACCAAGAGCCTGCCAAGATGCCCAGTGGAGCAGCGGCATGCTGATATGACAAACGGCATGCACGTGAAACTTTGAACCAACCGCTGGCGGCAAAGATCTCTGGCCAATAATCCGATGGGTGTGCGCAAGATTGTTGACTGCCTGCTCCACTGTCGAGGATCTGAGAAGTGTACTTGTGTGACCTGGACTCAAGCCGTTTCTGACATTGCTGTAACTTTGAAATCCCTTGGCGGCCTCCTCCCTGTTATCGAGTCTTTTTGATGGCAACGCCTCAGTTTTGAGCCCTGGTCTCTTGCATGAGCACCCGACCACACCATCATACAGATGATGACATGCCACCCTTTTCGATATCAACTCCGGTGATCGTGACCGTGTTCCCCTCGTCCCGATGGGATGTCGACTCTTGGCTGCGGTAGGGCGCGTCTGGCCGTGAGGGATAACGCCGATTCCTTGGCTACCATCCACCGGGCCACACGGAATCCAAACTTGAGATGCGAAATCCGGAGACGGAAAAGGAGGTTGTCGATGCGGATACGGGTTTGAAAATTGAGGGCTTCCCGGGAAGATACCGGCTTGAATACAGCAGCAGAAAAGGTATAAAGGATGGTGTTTTCCTGGGTAGATATGGTCAACAATCACATCCTTCTTGCACAACAGTCTTGCATATTCTGGAAACAATTGAGCATACCCTTCCAACATTTTTTTTCCGTTGACTACACAATGGCACCCTCAGCGATAGAAGACATCAAGCTCATCACCGAGCACATCCCAGGTGACATGTCAGAGACTCCCAGCCCAGATGGACCACTCTTTGCAGTTCAGTCATCGAGGCCTTCCTCTATCTCAACGGCAACGTGGCTGAAACTCAACAGCAGTGCTCCAACTCACATAAAAGTTGAGGAAGTCGCAGCCATTTCTCACGAAGAGCCCTTCACTGGAGCCAAGAAGCTCCGCTATCTCTTGGAAAACACTGACGAGCTCGTCGTATGCCCGGGTGTCTATGATGGACTATCCGCGCGGACAGCGATCGAGCTTGGGTTCAAGTCCTTGTATATGGTAAGTACCCTGGTTCACTTCCCCAGACTGATGATCAAAACGGCGCATGTGGCTGTGGTTGCATTTGCTGACCCATGGTGATGACAACAGACTGGTGCTGGCACAACCGCATCTCGCCTTGGCCAGCCTGACCTTGCTATTGCCCAACTCGCCGACATGAGAGACAACGCGGACATGATTGCCAACCTCGACCCCTTTGGCCCTCCCCTGATTGCTGACATGGACACCGGATATGGCGGTACGTAGACGGCCCGCAGTGTTTCGTGTGAGAGACCACCCAAGAGCTGGACTAACATGATCGCCTCCCCCCAGGTCCAATCATGGTCGCCCGCACAGTCGAGCACTATATCCGGTCGGGCGTCGCCGGCGCGCACTTGGAGGACCAGATACTGACCAAGCGCTGCGGCCACCTGTCGGGAAAGAAAGTCGTGCCTCGCGAAGAATACAGTAAGCACCAGCCTCCCTCCCCCACCGATGCTACCCACCCATGAGCGTGCCGAAACAGCCGCGATACAACAGCAGCCGAGTTGTTAACACCAAGCCGCACAGTGACACGGATCCGCGCCGCGGTGGCAGCCAAGCGCCGCCTCAAGTCCGACTTTGTGCTCATCGCGCGCACCGACGCGCTGCAGTCGCTGGGCTACGAGGAGTGCATCGGCCGGCTGAAGGAGGCGCGCGCGGCGGGTGCCGACGTCGGGCTCCTCGAGGGCTTCAAGTCCAAGGAGCAGGCGGCGGCGTGCGTGCGCGAGCTCGCGCCCTGGCCGCTGCTGCTCAACTCGGTCGAGAACGGGCACAGCCCGCTCATCACGGTCGAGGAGGCCCGCGAGATGGGGTTCCGCATCATGATCTTCTCGTTTGCCACGCTCGCGCCCGCCTACGCCGCCATCAGGGACACGCTGCTCCGGCTCAGGGACCATGGGGTCGTCGGCACGCCCGATGGGATCACGCCCGTCAAGCTCTTTGAGGTCTGTGGCCTTGGTGATGCCATGCAGGTTGATATCGGGGCGGGAGGTGGTGCTTTCGCGGAGGGAGTATAGGGCGGATTAAGACATTGCTATTCAGTGTCTGGACACCGGGTGGCTGGAGGCTTGCGGTGCTGATTTTTTTTTTTTTTTGCTTGCACTTACTTTTCCTTGTATACATCAAGACAACATATGAGAGTATGCGTCAAATTGAAGCTTTCAAACTCTACTCAATTGATCCAGCGCGTGTAAAAGTGTAAGCCATGGAGGTTGCTCAGATCTCAGTGTCCTTCTGAGCACCCAAGCACAATAGGCTTCTAGCTTCGTAAATTGTTATTCACTTCGCGGCCGTCACACTTTATCTTGTCCATCGCATCCTGAAAGTTCCTCGTCCAGTGCCCCCCCCCCCCGGCGAAAGGTCGTTTCTTCGAATCCGATGGAACCGATCTTTTGTCTAATAGTTCAAATGAAACGATCATTCATCATACTGCCGCCTGCACCCGTGACCTCCTGAAGTTGGGAGCGGATGACATACTGTTGGACGCCTCAGTAAGCATCTTGCATATCTATTCAAGTGATAACTACGGTCCCGGAGACTAATTAGTACCCCGGAGATGAACATGCATCAATTAGAGCTCTTTCTCTGAAGCTCGTAGGACTAGATGTGGAAGACCCCGCAGGCCGAGATCTCCAGAGCCGTCGGGAGGATCTCTTACTAGTACTTAGGGCGTGATTACGGAGAGAAGTTAGTCTAGTCTAAACCCCTACTTAATAACTTTCTTACTAAGCTACTCATATACAATACCATACCCTTTTAGGTATTAAGTAAAAAGTTACTCACTAAAGTCTAAAGTTATTATTACCTATTTATTATAGTATAATTAATTTAATAAGAAAAAGTTTAAATTATTATAATTATAACTATAAAATTATAGTTTCTATTATAATTATATTAATTAAAGTATTATTAGCTATATATACATACCTATAAGCTACTATTATAAACTTTAAATTCCTATTAATTATATTAATAATAATATTAAAGATTTTAAAAATATACTTTTATTATTAAGTATATTTATAATATTATTAATAAAGGATAAAATTATACCTAAAGTTAAGAATAAAAACCCTTTAAGCTTATTTATAATACCTTTATTAATAAACTTATTAATTAAGCTTTTAATTAATTAAAATTACTATTAATTATATTATTAAGTTAAAGGTTTATTAAAAATAAAAGACTATATTATTAATTATAATAGTATTTATACTTAAATAATAACCTATCTTAATTAAAAGGTTATTATCTTCCTTCTTATAATTTATAAAGCTTTTTTAAAATATTATAAAATTAAATAAAATACTTTATAAAGTTATTATAAAAATATAAAGTAGAGGAATTACTTAAACTATTAAATTTAAGATAATAAATATTAATATAGAATAAATTAATTTATAAGTTATTTAAAAATAACTTTAATAAATATAGTTAATTAAAATATTAAAAATTAAATATAATAAAAGAAAATAATATAAATAATTTATTATTCTATTTAACTATTTTAATATAATATCTAATAAAAATTAAAGTTAATTAAAAATTTAAAATAAAACTTTAAAATTATATTTATTTAATATTTAAGTAATTTATAATAGTTTAAAAATAAATTTTAAAGATAAAGATATATATAATAATATCTTTTAATAAAAAAATATTTAAATTAAAAATTAATATAATAATATTAAAACTTATTTTTAAAAATAAGAATATTAATATATTTAAAAGGAAATAAAGTAATAAATATATAAATATTATTATAACCTATAGAATAACTTTAATAATTTAAATTAAACTTTTAAAATTAATAATATATTATTATATTTTATTAACTTTAAGGTATTACTTTGTTTAATAAATTAATAATTTTATTTAATTAAATAAAAGTTTATTAATAATAATATAATAATAATTATTATTTTTATAATTTAATTAATAAAGACTTAATAATTTAAAATAATTAAATTAATTATATATAATATAATAAAATATTATATAATAAAGAATAATTAATTAAATATATTTTTAATAAAGTTAATTATATTTTAATAAAAGATTTAAATAGATATTATATAATATAATTATATAAACTACTTTATTAAAAACTTTAAAAACTTTAAAATAGTATATTAAATAAAAAATTAATATTATTAAAAAGAAAGACTTATTAAATTAAAAATTAAATTAAAGTTATAAAATAAATAAGTTAATAAAGTATTTAAAAATTATTAATTATTAAAAATTATTAACTATTTTAAGAACTATAATTAATATATATATATAACTTTTTTAAATAATATTATATAAAAACTTTAAAATATATATTTTATAATTTATAATTTATTTTATTATATATTTTAATTTAATATTCTTAACTCTTTTATATATAAAGTTATATTAAAGTATTATTATAAAGGTTAAAATTTTAATATTTTTAATTATAAATTATAAAGATTTATTAATTATAAAATATATTTTTATTTTAAATATTAAAATTTTTATATCTCTTTTATAAATAAATAAAATTTAATTTTAATTTTAATTATATAAATATAAAAACTTAAGCTAGTATCTATACACCTAGTAAGTTAGTTTATATATTTAGTATTTTATTTTATATATTTAGTACTTACTTTTAAAGTGTGTAATTTATAGAATACTATGTACCTACTAAGCCTATCTTATAGTAACTTTAAAAATTAAGATGTGATATATTTATTTTATGTTTATTAAATTAATAGTGGGTGTTTTAATAAAATGTTAATTCTAGTTTTACTCTTTTCTTTTATTTACCTAGCTATTATATATTTTTATATTATACTATAATAATATTATTATCTCTATTATAATAACCTTACTTACTATTTATTTACTTACTATTAATATTAATATCTATTATTATATTTTAATATAATTAAAATATCTTTCTTTTCCTCTCTTTTTTATTTTTATTTTAAATATTAAACTTTAATATTTAATTATAGGTACTTAAAGTAATTTATTAACTTCTAATATTATTATATTATATTTATAAAGCTTACTTTATAATTTTAAGGGGTTTAGTATTTTACTATTTAATATAATAGTTTATTAATTTATATTATTAAAGGAGCTTTAATATTTATAAATTAGAATTAAATTTAATAATTATAGCTTTTATATTAATATTTATAGATTTTTAGTAGGTTTATTTTTAAGATAAGTTTAATATATAAATTAAGTATTATAGGTATATTATATCTTTTAGTTATTTTTAAATAAACTTAATATAAATTAAAATTATTATTAATTATATTTTATATAATAGTACTTAATATTATTCTAAGTAGGTAGATTTTATATATAATAAAGTTAAGAAAAATATTAAAAGTAATTTAAAGATATAGTTAAAATAAGTAAATAAAAGTTAAAGAAGTTAGTTACTTTATATAAAATAAGCTACCCCTTTTAGTTTATTATTAAAAAGGATAAGGAAATATTAAGTAAATTATTTTATTATATTCTATTATATTTAAGTTTAATATATTTTATAGGTTTTTTTAAGTTATTAAAATAGATTCTTTTATAATTATATACTATTTAAATTACTTAATAAATATTTATTTATAAGAATAGCCTTTTATTATATTATTAAGTATATTATAATATTCTTATAAAATAATTTTAATTAAGTTTAAAGATTATTAATATATTATATATTATCTTTTATAAATAGATAATAACTTTAAATATTAATAATTAATAAAACTTCTTAAAATATTATATATAGGGTTAACTATTAATTAAATAACTCTTTAATACCTTAATTAAAACTATTATTTAATTAATTTAAATATAAATAAAGAGTATTATATTATATATATTATATTTTTTTAATTAAAGTATTATAATTTTATAATTTTAATAATCTATTATTCTTTATAATAGATATTATATTTAATATTAATTAATATAAGCTTTTATTTATTTATATTATTAGGATAATATTAAAGCGTTATTCCTATACTTATTTTTACCTTTATTAATAAGTAAGATACTACTAATTATATTTAGATTTTTATATATTAAAAATATAGTATTAACTATAATATTTAATTAATTAATATAGAAATTATTAAAAGCAATACTATTTATATAGTATATTTAAATACTTAAATTATTATTTATTAATAGTATTTTATAGTAGTATTTAAAAAATATTTATAATAAGTATATTTTAATAATAAAATATTTAAAAGTTTAAGTATAATTTCTTTTAGATTATTAATATTATATATAAGATAAATATATATAATTTTTAGAGTAACTTTTAAAAAGTAGGTAGAGGTAAATAATAAGTAAGTAATTATTAATTATATTTATAAAATATAGCTTAATAGCTATTATTATTATAAAAGTATTTATTATATATTATTTTAAATATAACTTATTTTAATATACTTTATATATTAACTATAGAGAGTTTATTATTATTTTAAAATATAGTTAGGCTAATAGAAGTATATATATATAAATTTAGTAAATATCTTTTCTATTTAATAATTATTATATTTTAAAGGTTTTAGGATATTTTAATTAAAGAGATTATAGTAGCTAAAAATAACTAATATACCTTCTTATATCTTTTAACTTTTATTATTATTAATATTTTAATCTATTATAAAGGTTATTTTTAAAATTATTATAATATAAAGGCTAGAGGTAAACTTAACTTCTTTTATATAAGTTTATTTTAGTATATTATAGAGTACTTATATATTTATAAAGTCTATATAATAATAGATATTAGAATATATTTTATTTATTTAACTTTTATTTATTTTAATATTAATTAGATTTAGTAATTTAATATTAAGTATTATTATATATTTATTAACTATAATAAAGTATTTCTAAGCCTTTTATATATTTTTAATTACTATTATCTTTAAATAAATATATTATATTATTTATTAAAAGAAAGATATTAACTTTAAACTTTTTTATTAAGGAGTTATACTTTATTTTTATTTTA